TTTTTCTTTTCCTGTACTTGAAACCGTAAAGTACTGACATATTGCACCCTCTTACATAATATATGCGTCTAGCAGGTGCATTTTAAACATTGATTACAGCGTGCTATTGGGCACCAGTCAAAAGGTGACCTTGTATCCCTGAATCAGCAGAGGAAAAATGACAGCTCGCTGTTTGTCTGCCTATGGAGGGTGAAATGAGACGGATAAACTCTCTGTAACGACACAGACTGTCCACAGCTATATCTATGAATTAGTTTTGCATCTGGCGACCAGTGGATTACGGGGTCCCATCTGTTCATAAAGACAATATGGAGCAAATTACAAAGTCAGAAATCAAAAATCTAAAATCCAGTGCAGATTATGGGATTTATAAGAAGCAATAAATTCAAGCAAACACAAGGAAAGGTGGTTTTCTAGCATCCCAATAGAAATGCAATATAAAAGCGTTTATATAATATTCTAACGAGGGATTTAGAATGACCTCATGTAAAGCAGAAGGGAAAGAGGATGCGATTAATCGCGATTAAGCGCACTAGTACTGATCAACATGATGTAAGCTGACATGAAATACACTACCGTTTAAATACCGTTTGGTATCATTAAGTAAAAAAAAAAAGCCTTTATTTTGCAAGGATGCATTAAAATGATCAAAAGTGACAGTAAAGACATGTGTTATGAACTATTAAGAAACTATTGCAAAGATTACTGACCAACAAGTCAATATTTACCTGTTCAAATAAATAAATAAATATTGAAATAAGTATTTTATGCTCACCAAGGATGAATTTATTCGATCAAAAATACAGTAAAAACTTTGAAACATTATCACAATATAACTGTTTTCTATTGCAATATATTTTAAAATGCAATTTATTTCTGTGATGTGCAGCTGAATATCCAGCATCATTCCTCCAGTCTTCAGTGTCACATTATCCTTCAGAAATTATTCAAATATACCGATTTGCTGCTCGAGAAACATTTCTTCGTATTATCAGTGTTGAAAACAGTTGTGCTGCTTAATATTTTTGTTGCAATCGTGATACATTTTTCAAGATTCTTTGATAAATAAAAAGAAAAATAATTCACAATTTAAACATTTTTGCCATAGAAATAATATATTTTAACATTATAAATATCATTTTGATCAATTTAGCGCATCACTGCAGAATAAAAGTACTGACTTCTAAAAACCAACTGCTAAATCTTTGCCATTTATGCATGCAGTATTAATTGGAGAAACTGAATATTTCTACTGTTTCTAAAAAAAATCTTAATTTAAAAAGTTGTGATGCAAATGTGCAAGCTGCCATTAATGCATGCATTGACACATAAACCAATACGGTTTATTCACATTTTTCTGTTTATAACCTTTAAAGCATGAGATAATATAACTACAAATCAATATCTGTGTCGACATATTAGACACTTGAAGAAAAATTGGTATCTGTTACACACGTATGAAGGATGCGCTCTCTGTAACGCCATCGCTCTGATGGAAACAACACCTCGAATTAATTGTAACATGAGGTTTGGTGACAAAAAGTTAGGCAGTGTCTGTTTTTTTCTTTTCCTGTACTTGAAACCGTAAAGTACTGACATATTGCACCCTCTTACATAATATATGCGTCTAGCAGGTGCATTTTAAACATTGATTACAGCGTGCTATTGGGCACCAGTCAAAAGGTGACCTTGTATCCCTGAATCAGCAGAGGAAAAATGACAGCTCGCTGTTTGTCTGCCTATGGAGGGTGAAATGAGACGGATAAACTCTCTGTAACGACACAGACTGTCCACAGCTATATCTATGAATTAGTTTTGCATCTGGCGACCAGTGGATTACGGGGTCCCATCTGTTCATAAAGACAATATGGAGCAAATTACAAAGTCAGAAATCAAAAATCTAAAATCCAGTGCAGATTATGGGATTTATAAGAAGCAATAAATTCAAGCAAACACAAGGAAAGGTGGTTTTCTAGCATCCCAATAGAAATGCAATATAAAAGCGTTTATATAATATTCTAACGAGGGATTTAGAATGACCTCATGTAAAGCAGAAGGGAAAGAGGGAGGGACGGACTGACCAACCTGAGAGGAGGATCTTTTTCTTAAATATATACATGCATGTGTTTGTATTTATATATACATAATAAATATACACAGCACACACACATATATTATGTAAACAACAACTTTTATTTTGGATGCGATTAATCGCGATTAAGCACTAGTACTGATCAACATGATGTAAGCTGACATGAAATACACTACCGTTTAAATACCGTTTGGTATCATTAAGTAAAAAAAAAAAGCCTTTATTTTGCAAGGATGCATTAAAATGATCAAAAATGACAGTAAAGACATGTGTTATGAACTATTAAGAAACTATTGCAAAGATTACTGACCAACAAGTCAATATTTACCTGTTCAAATAAATAAATAAATATTGAAATAAGTATTTTATGCTCACCAAGGATGAATTTATTCGATCAAAAATACAGTAAAAACTTTGAAACATTATCACAATATAACTGTTTTCTATTGCAATATATTTTAAAATGCAATTTATTTCTGTGATGTGCAGCTGAATATCCAGCATCATTCCTCCAGTCTTCAGTGTCACATTATCCTTCAGAAATTATTCAAATATACCGATTTGCTGCTCGAGAAACATTTCTTCGTATTATCAGTGTTGAAAACAGTTGTGCTGCTTAATATTTTTGTTGCAATCGTGATACATTTTTCAAGATTCTTTGATAAATAAAAAGAAAAATAATTCACAATTTAAACATTTTTGCCATAGAAATAATATATTTTAACATTATAAATATCATTTTGATCAATTTAGCGCATCACTGCAGAATAAAAGTACTGACTTCTAAAAACCAACTGCTAAATCTTTGCCATTTATGCATGCAGTATTAATTGGAGAAACTGAATATTTCTACTGTTTCTAAAAAAAATCTTAATTTAAAAAGTTGTGATGCAAATGTGCAAGCTGCCATTAATGCATGCATTGACACATAAACCAATACGGTTTATTCACATTTTTCTGTTTACAACCTTTAAAGCATGAGATAATATAACTACAAATCAATATCCGTGTCGACATATTAGACACTTGAAGAAAAATTGGTATCTGTTACACACGTATGAAGGATGCGCTCTCTGTAACGCCATCGCTCTGATGGAAACAACACCTCGAATTAATTGTAACATGAGGTTTGGTGACAAAAAGTTAGGCAGTGTCTGTTTTTTTCTTTTCCTGTACTTGAAACCGTAAAGTACTGACATATTGCACCCTCTTACATAATATATGCGTCTAGCAGGTGCATTTTAAACATTGATTACAGCGTGCTATTGGGCACCAGTCAAAAGGTGACCTTGTATCCCTGAATCAGCAGAGGAAAAATGACAGCTCGCTGTTTGTCTGCCTGTGAAGGGTGAAATGAGAAGGATAAACTCTCTATAACAACAGACTGTGTGTGTGTCCACAGCTATACCTATGAATTAGTGTTGCATCTGGAGATCAGTGGATTATGGGGTCACATCTGTTTCATAAAGACAATATGGAACCGATTATGGAGTCAAAAAAAAAAAACACAAGGAAAGGTGGTTTTCAAGCATTCCAGAATGTCCCCACCTCCCAATAGAAATGCAGTAAGTAAAAAGAGTTATATAATATTCTAATGAGGAATTTAGAATGACCTCATGTAAAGCAGAAGGGAAAGATGGAGGGACGGACTGACCAACCTGAGAGGAGGATCGGATGTGCGTGAGAGAGGTGAACGAGTGTGTGAGGGCTTTTGTGATGTGTGGATTATGATATAGGATGGGAGGGACATGATGAAGAGGTAGACAGCAAAGCATTTATTACTTAATTTGCCTTTTACAAGGACGTCACAGATGTCTGAGGGCTGGCCCACACACACACACACACACACACACACACATAAGTCAAACAGATATAAATAGTACAGGTTAATTAGTTAGGTAAGTAATTTGAGCCAGGGCCTGGCAGTTAGAATTTGATCCACAGACAGGTAACTCAAGAATCACCCATTGTCACTGCCTTCAGATCTATATAAATCGCACCTGGACAGACTCGCAGTCACCACTCAGCCTTACTTCTGTTGACTCACCTGCTGGGAGAACTTCACCGAGGTAAGTGCCTGCACTTTGCCAGCGAGTCAGTCTCTTTTTGTGTTTAGCAGCAAATTGAATACTTCTTTAGGTTTACTTTTATGAGAATTATATTCAAATTGCATGCATATATTAATGACAATTGCACCAATGCATGTAGATGATCTATCTATCTATCTATCTATCTATCTATCTATCTATCTATCTATCTATCTATCTATCTATCTATCTATCTATCTATCTATCTATCTATCTATCTATCTATCTATCTATCTATCTATCTATCTATCTATCTATCTATCTATCTATCTATCTATCTATCTATCTATCTATCTATCTATCTATCTATCTATCTATCTATCTATCTATCTATCTATCTATCTATCTATCTATCTATCTATCTATCTATCTATCTATCTATCTATCTATCTATCTATCTATCTATCTATCTATCTATCTATCTATCTATCTATCCATCCATCCATCCATCCATCTATCTATCTATCATCCATTCATCCATCCATCTACCATCCATCCATCCATCTATCCCAGCACCTTAGTTGAGCTTGTGTCTATCTGTATCTTTAGTCGATTTTATTTATTTACTTAGATGGAAAGTATTCTCTCTCGCTCTCTTTTTTCCCCCATTTAACCAAGCAAGTTTTATTTAAATGTAGCCCAGCCTAGTTTGCGTATTCAAATATACTGTATATTGTAGTATATTATATTATATGATCAGGTTGCTATGGCAGCTGCTTGTGAAAGTCGATGAATTATTTCAAACTGTGCTTCTTCTTCAGGACCATGTCACTCTCATCTGTCCTTTCCGCCGATGCCATCGACAGTGCGCTCAAGGACTGTCAAGGTAGGACACATGACCGTGATCATAACATTATCATGAGGTAAGGATCTGGATATGGCAGACAGGTGCTTTGAAAGAGGTGTAGAGGAGGCGTCCCTCGCTGAAAAGAGGAGGGGGGTTAAGACATCATCTGTCCGATGCCTATAGTGCTGTTTTAGAAACTATGCTATGGCGCTGTATGGAGAGATCAAGGGACTCCACTGCAAGAGGAGGAGGGAGACAACTGTAAGCGGCAGGGGATACCATCAGCTCTTGGTAGTCATGTGACTTCTACATGTTTGCAGGTCATGTGACATGCGACTGAAGATGGTGTTTGGAAGAACACCGAAACGTCTTGTCGTTTGTTTTGATGTAGTCCAGTGGGCTCAAATAAAGAGCTTGTTTAAAGACACTTGTCTCTCCTCTATCGGCATGTTTGTGCCTCATCAGCAGATTAGGAATTGAAGCCGTGAATGCATTTATGTGACATCTTTGTGAACATCTGACTTCAGCTGCTCCTTAAATGGCACTGTCAGATGTACCATGTCTTTTAATCGGTTGTTCCGTGGTCTTCTTCCAGCTCCTGACTCCTTCACCCCCAAAAAGTTCTTCCAGCTGTGTGGTCTGACAAAGAAAAGCCCTCAGGAAGTGAAGAATGTCTTTAACATCTTGGACAACGACGCCAGCGGATTCATCGAGGAGGAAGAGCTCAAGTAGGAACTTTCACATGCATTTTAAAGCCGCATGGAAGAGCAGATAAACTTAATAGACAGGATCAATGTGAGAACGACAGATTTCAGCCTTTTATTAAGTATTCAAAAACAGACAGGGATTACCTAGCCTGACAACAGTCTTGTTTCTATGCATTCGGCCTTTTAATTAGGACAGACACTTGATCCTCCTGCTTTGAATGCATCCTGTCTCTGTCTGGGTACCAGTATTTTGAGCCTTTCCTTCCCAGACAGGAGGACTGTCTGATGTGTCTGACGATGCTCTTTCTGATGTGCTTCCAGGTTTTTCTTGCAGCGGTTCTCAGCTGGTGCTCGTGTGCTGACCGACAAAGAGACAAAGGCTTTCCTATCAGCAGCTGACGATGACAGCGATGGCAAGATTGGAGTGGATGGTAATTGTGGCATTTACCATCATTTATAACGAACAGGATAATAACACAGTCGGCCCACACGATTTAAACATCTATGTAAAGTTAGTTGCAATTTAAATATGCATATCATGTTCATAATGGCTGTTTTTCAACATTTTATCGTCATCGCGTATAAAACGGGAACTGCTGTATTAAGTCGTTTATTTGAGCGGTACAGTTTAATGAATGAATTTCTGCTCACGTGCACGAATTGTGTCTCTGATCTCTTGCAGAGTTCCAGGCGATGGTTCTGTCCTGAATGATCGGTACACAGCTCTCCCCTCTCTTGTACTCAGATTTCATTTCAATTCAGCAGTCCCGCCACTCGATACACAGGTTTTTTTGCTCCCGGGGACCCCCTGGTCAATAGAGTCCACACAAGGCAGACGCATAAAGTTTTTATTTGATTTTTGAATATGTAGAGGGGCGCACATGGGCACTGACCAAATGTAAAACTACCTGAAAATTATTACTGAAGTGAATAAATAAATGGCTCAAAATATTTCAAATGTTGTCTGTGTTATTTTCATCCCGGTCGTAAAATATTGAAGAGGTGAGCACAGGACCTGAAATACACTGGGTTAAAAAAATGCTGGGTTAAATGCAACCCAGTGCTGGGTAAAATAGACACAAATGCATGTTTTCCAAACAGTCAGCTCACTGTAGACTTTAATAGCTGAGAATTACAGAACAGGACCTAGAATTAGAGCGAGCATGTTGACCACTAGACACCACACCCTGACATTAGCAGCCTGTGTATGAGTGCATTTCTGCTTCACGTACATGCACTGTAAACGATTGCCAGGATTTGACCAGAAACAGTAACGGACGTTATTTACATTAAAATACCGTACTAAATTTTGCTATACGTTTTGGTCGTTTTTTTTTGTCTTAACTCAACTAAATGGTGTTTAAGAGAGAAAATTACATCGTCTCTATTGATTTCACGGTAAAATCCAGATGATGTTGTTTTACTGTAAGAACTGTAAATTGTCAATATTTTAAACTGTAAACATTCGGCCCAATGTACCATGTTAATATGAAGGAATTGTGTTTTAAGGTTGAAGGAAATGGAAAATGATGCTGGTAATTAAATCTATTGATTTATTTTCTGACAGCATAGGTTTGTGTAAGCTATCTGAGAAACAAAGTTACTGGGTTAATCTTTTTCACGTTTGCTTGGTTGATAGATGCACCGGGGACCCGATTATAGCACTTAACACCTGGAGAAGTCAGATTTTCATGATATGTCACCTTTAATGTAAAAGTGCTAAATGAATTACACTTTATCTATACATGTTTATGGTTCATGAATAAGCCAATTCTGATTAATTAAAATGTTTAAACCTGGAGAAGTCAGATTTTCATGATACGTCACCTTTAAGACTTGATAAATAGTATTATACGTTTTTTTATGAACATTTATTTGGAAAGGTTTGGGTTCTGTGTGCTTTGCTCAAATAGTAGAAGCATGACGCCCTATGGATTCGATTCCTTGCTAAATTAAAGCAACTGTATTTAAGTTTGGGTTTCAGTGTCATTCTGATGGTACACTGACTTCTAATAAGGTGAATAGCTTCTGCTCCTTTCCCACACTCCCCCTCAAATATCTGTTCTGGGAGTATATAAGTTTGGTGAGCGTGTACAAAAATCCGCAAAAAGGGCATATTGCTTTTTGGCAGCAACAAATGCCCATGTATAGCCAGATATGGTCGTGTGCATAATGGCCAATTTGGTTCACATGTGCCTTGATGACCAATCAGATACCACAGATGGTCTTATTATTAGGAGATTCGAGGATCTGTAGTACTTACCATTGGAGAAATCGAAACAGTCAACTTTGAACAACTTGTTCAACCAACATTTTTTTTGGTTCTATGTAGATTCCACTAACTATGAAATATGCTAATCAAATTGACTCGCGAACGTAACATAATTGTAATAAATATTTTGCACGCACATTCCACATCAGAGCATCCAACCTTTGCATGCATCTTCATGATCCTAAATGAGACGAATCATGTTTACCAGTATTTCCGGCATCTCAAAAATCGATTCGGGTCAAATTTGACCCGCAACAAGGAATCTTGATAGAAATTTTCACAGATAATTGTTGAGTTTTGTCTTCGGAACCCCAGCACATTTACTCAAACATCCTATATTTTAAACACTATTTTATAGAAATCACTACAGTTCTTGGTATTCTCGTGATGCATGGTACTGTACTCATTTTCATTCTTAATTATTGGTCTACGGTATAAATAAATGTCAAGTCCGCATTTTAAACAGTCATGCAGCTTTTCGCCTCCATTCTTGCACAGTCTAGTGCATAATTAACGACTGCACCCATGTCACCTCAGTTCAGTGCGACTACAATGCACATTTAATGATAATCCCGTGTAATTAACTTAAGCTACTGTAAACAGTATCAAATGCATTTTATCAATAGATGTGGCCCGGGCACTTGACATCTCAGTCATGCATGGGGCCATCATGAAGGAACCTCAAGAAAGGGGTGAGATCGGATGCCCTGGATTTGAGTCGGCGGCGTACCCTGGGTGGGATTATCATCTGAAACTCGACCAGGGCTTCCCAACAAGATTTGATGAGCATATCTAATCAAGGCAGTAAAAGAATGATGTAAATAAGTAATGCTGGCCAAATTTCTTTTGTCCTGCCATGGCAATTAACTGGTCTGGTGGGGTGACAGCCGTAGTCTTGTGTCTCACAGCTGGTCAATAATTGATGCACCTCGCTTCTTTGTCACCAAAAACTCATAGCAAGGAAGAAGTGTCAGGGTCGTCTTACTTATTAAAGGTCTCTGAATCTTTAATGGGCACCTCATCCTCCAATCAATATGTTCTAATACGTTGCAAACTTATTTCAATGTCTTGACTAACATACTAAAGCACATGTCCTAAATTACAATTTTATCATTACAAATGTGTGATTACAATATATGACATACAAGTTTCAATAGAAATGGCATTAAATTATATTTTAGTTTACCATAAATGCTTGTCACTACATTTATCAGTACACATTAACCATAAAAAAACAAGTAATTATGAAAATATAAAGATGTACTTAAGTCCTGCTTAAGTGTCTCAGGTTGATTTTCCTGCCATTGTGTAAATAATAACGTTATGGTTCCTGATCTTATATAGAAATATTAGAATATAGATATACTTCCATAAAATACAACACAAGTACAGTAGAAGCGTAAAAGGTACTCCGTAACAGGAATGAATCATACAGCTCAAGGGTTTTGGCTTTACATTGATCCTTGCGTCAAAGAAATGCAGTCATCCAATCACTTCACAATTATATCTCCATGTTACAGGGCTAGATCAACTGCAAATCATCAGTGCAATACTTTTGTTTGGATTTATCCGCCTTTGCAAAAGCAAATACATGCAAAGTGACCCGATTGTCGTAGGAGTCGTGAGGGTTTTCAAAAACATGCCAAGCTTTTGAGCCATGGGGTTTTGTTAGCCTTGTGTTTGTGCTTTAGGGTTTCCCTTGTGAAAAAGAAGTACACTTAAGATTCTTTTTAAAAAGAGTACTTATTACGGACACTTAATTGCCTGTTATTTACCATGTTACTAATTTAAATAAAAATGTATTATAGTTTAAATTTATATTGAGTGCAATTAGCTGAACATTAGGGTGATTTCTTGACCCACTTAAATAGGACTTAAGTACATCTTTATACGTAATTTCATAATTACTTAAATTGTCTTAAACATGCTTAAAGTATGAATGTACTGACAAGCATTTATGGTAAACTAAAATATAATTTTTAAAGGGGTCATATGATGCGATTTTAAGTTTTGCTTTCTCTTTGGAGTGTTACAAGCTGTGTGGCCCGGGCACTTGACATCTCAGTCATGCATGGGGCCATCATGAAGGAACCTCAAGAAAGGGGTGAGATCGGATGCCCTGGATTTGAGTCGGCGGCGTACCCTGGGTGGGATTATCATCTGAAACTCGACCAGGGCTTCCCAACAAGATTTGATGAGCATATCTAATCAAGGCAGTAAAAGAATGATGTAAATAAGTAATGCTGGCCAAATTTCTTTTGTCCTGCCATGGCAATTAACTGGTCTGGTGGGGTGACAGCCGTAGTCTTGTGTCTCACAGCTGGTCAATAATTGATGCACCTCGCTTCTTTGTCACCAAAAACTCATAGCAAGGAAGAAGTGTCAGGGTCGTCTTACTTATTAAAGGTCTCTGAATCTTTAATGGGCACCTCATCCTCCGTGATAACACCGTTTGCGATCACGTGTGGTTGCCGCAGGCCTCCTTCGTCGAATCCGCCGGCCTCCGCATACTCAAGGCCGCGTGTGTGACGCTTTTTCGTTGTGAAAGCGAAACTACTTTGTTTGGTCTTCCAAAAGAGGACACGACATACTCAAGGCCGCGTGTGTGACACTTTTTCATGTGAAAGCAAAACTACTTTGTTTGGTCTTCCAAAAGAGGACACGACTAGAAATCAGTGGTTAGGATAAAGGGGATTACCTGCTGCAGGCCGTATTATTATTCAGATCTGATTCGATTTGGGCTCGCCTGAGTCCTGAAAAAGCTTGAGCGTCATAAAAGTTTTAAGTGTTGTGGAAGATAAAGGTTGGGTGGATTCTGCATGCATTATTCAGCAAGGGCTTCTGGCCAGAGAGTCAGCTGCTATTGTTTAATGTCTATGTAGGGTGACATACTGAGACGTATGCTTTATGAGAAATCTCAGCCAAGGTTGAGAATGACATCAGCTCTGATATGGGTCGGTCCTCTTATTCAGGACATGGTGTGTGTCTTAATTCAAAATATGGAAATCATAAGAGATTTCTTTTTCTTTTATTTTTTCTTTTACAATAACATCATGACAAGTAAACACAAATAACTGGCTTGAGCTGATGTTGCCAACATGAAACATGAACACGCAAAACTGGCAATTTAATAGTTTCTTTATTTTTTCCTTTCTCAAAATGTTCCGAACAAAACAATAAGCAATATTTTTCAGTTTTATTTCATCAGTATACTGATGACTGAGTCATCTTCTTGAAGTGCTCTGAATGTGTACTTGTAGTGCACTTCAAAACTTACATTTATATATTAAAAAACTGTACTTGCAGATAATATAATATTAATGAAATAAAAGGACACTTAAATGAACTTACAGAGAGACACTTTCATGACTAACACATAATTTGGTACATTTAAAATATATTAACTTTTCATTAATATTACATTGTGAAGTATCAGGTTTTCTTTTAAATATACTACAAGTGCACATTCAATCAAACTAAGCATTGTTCTTTTTCACCATTGTTTGATTGGTTTAAAAGTGATTGGTTCATTTGTCCTTTGGTTTTATTCACATTGCACGTAGAATCGATTTGTTTTTGTTTTTCAGATATTCAGAACTGACTGTCCTCAAATGGCTTTTTGCAAGTGATGAAATCGTATCTGTAAATTCAAACAGTGTAGTCAATATGTCAATATCCAGTATGTTCATTGCTATGGTAATAACCAATGGCGATTTCTTTTCTTTGTTTGCATTTGTACAAATAACTAAATTGAGTTAGATATACCAAATATAAGTTTTTATTTTATTTTCTCTTACATCTGAACTTGCTCTTGCTTGACCTGCGGGTTGTGGCAGCTCTAGGTCACCCATTCAGGTTCTTAAGGCATTCAAATGTTGAGGAATGCTTCATTTGACAATAAAAGATAATTCAAATGTTGAGGGATACTTCATTTGATAATAAAAAACCTTGTGTTGGCAATATAGTCATCCGAATGCTCACAGCACAGATGACATGTGCCATGAAGATTCGGTGTAAGCAACTGTGACAACATCGATATTAAACAGCATGCCGCACTCTCAAACTGCTAATCTTTGCATTAACCCGATACATGTGATCAGTTGTGTTTTTCAGAGAGTTCAGGCCTCGTCAAACCCCGACACAAAACTCACACAGAACCTCACCGAGCTCCGTTTCCAATCTCTGCTCCAGTTTCTGCATGATTACAGGAGTCGCTGTTGGGTTTCAGCCGTGGCTCGATTTCGACTCTACGGCCACCAAATCTTCTCATTACCTAACGGGGTTCTACACAACATACCCGTCACATCTCCAGGACCTCAGCGAACAGTGAATTATTAAAGTGTAACAAGCTGTCGGGACACCGAACTCAATTGTGCGTTTTAATTAAATGTCTCTCTCTCACTCCGTCTGCCTCCTTTCTGCTGACAGTGAGGCGGTGGTGTTTGAGATGCTCCAGTGTTTCCCCTTAATGAACAGATGGGGAACATGGGAACATTTGTTCTGCTTAGACAGCATGTTGACGATCCAGTCGATGGTTTATTTTGTCGTGTGTGCCATGCATCACTATTATTATTGCTCACACTTATTCAAAATTAATAATAGCTCAAATTGTACAGCTTGTTAAAGAGAGGTGTGCTATGAATTGTACTGAACGTGCACTTGTAGTGTAGTGTATTTCAGTCTTCAAAGTATAAAACTATATTTGCAGATAATATGTGACCCTGGAGCACAAAACCAGTCATAAGGGTAAATTTTTCTTAATTGAGATTTATGCATCATCTGAAAGCGGAATAAATAAGCTCTCCATTGATGTATGGTTTGTTAGGATAGGACAATATTTGGCCGAGATACAACTATTTGAAAATCTGGAATCTGAGGGTGCAAAAAAATCTAAATATTGAGAAAATCATCTTTAAAGTTGTTCAAATGAAGTTCTTAGCAATGCATATTACTAATCAAACATTAAGTTTTGATATATTTACAGTAGGACATTTACAAAATATC